AATATCTACAAAGTTTGTTAAAATAAACGCCCGGGGGTCAAAACTGGCCCTGCCCCAGGGGTGACATTGTTTTTAACTACTATATGTGTATAGTAAAAACTTTAAAAATCTTCTTTTAAAAATGCAAATGAGCTAGAACTTAGATGTTTAGCATGAAACATCTTCTTACGGGTGTCTACCAAGTCTGTTCAAATAAACAAATAAAAGCCCTTGGGTAAAAATTGGCCCGTGGGTGGGGGGCCTATATACAGGTGAGCGACCTCAGGGCCATCATGGCCCTCTTGTTTTCTTTTGTTTTCTTATTTGAGACAGATTTCTCCTTCGAGTGATATAATATTCATGTTTTTCTATCAATAACTCTCACGACAATAACTGTAGTGCACGAATTTTTTGGACAACCCTCGTATGAGAGTCCAAAGTCTGTCAGTTATCTAAATACTCTAGAAGCATGGCGGCCATTGTCTGCAGAATGAAAAAACAACATCACTTGTATCATAGTTTGGGGACCTTTCTGTTGAAAAAGTGTCAGAGTTAAATCGTATACATATACATGCACAGTGCGGTAACTGGGGTGCAGGTATCAGTTACCCGCACTCTAGATAATGCCCGTTGATTGGTTCATTTTTGCTGGGGTTTACTTATTGTGACGGCAGAGAAAGGGAAAGGGGCAGAAATATCATATTCAAATGCTCGTTCATTGGTTAAATTTTTCTGGGGTTTCATATTATGACAACAGGGAACATGCTGTCATGTTTGACTATGATACAAAAGAGAAAGAACACCAAAACACTCGGCAATCTGATTTATACTCAGGGGGGGGGGGGCTACGCCCCCTCGTACAAATCAGATAGCCTCAGGTTTCGGTGCTCTTTCTATTACTTGTATAAAGATATTTGGAATTATTCTAAAAATCGTTTACGAAAGAAATGCTCTCTAAAGTTTTAGGAGTACGGTAACGTATTATTTTGAAAATAAATGCAGTCATAATAATAATAATAATTATAATATTAATGATAATAATAATAATAATAATGATAATATGATAATAATAATAATAATAACTTTACACATTAAGACATAAACATATTTTAACAACTTATCAAGAACTTATTATCAGGAAAATAGGAAGAAAATACGTTATAGAAATAATATATACTCATAAAAATGTTGTTGGAAGTGCTTCACACGTTGTTTTTTCCTTCAACGAAGGTCTAACGTGTACTCCGAAGTATTCGTTATTTAACGACAATTACGTTAGAATTCTTGGCATTACAAACGTTTTAGGTTAGAGGGTAAATTACTAACTAGAGTACTGGTGTATTTCTCCAGGAACGATGGTTAGGAAACTACCCGCCTATATGACTGAATTTTGATATCAACTGGCATACTTTTGATATTATTGATATCATTTGACCTACTTTCTTGCTTTTTGATATTACGTCCCTACCTCAAAGGTCAAGGTCACACTATCATTTTGAAGTTTCACATTATCGCATTCGTGTCCGGACTGTAACTTTGTCATGCATCAAATGATTTTAAAATAACTAGGCATAAATGTCTACCACATCAAGACGATGTCGCGTCCAATAATTATGTCTCTACTTCAAAGGTCAAGGTCACACTAACATTTTGAAGTTTCACATTATCACAATTAGAATTAATAAGGTACACACAATCGTTTCCGGGCTGTAACTTTGTCATGCATGGAAGGATTTTAAAATAACTTGGCATAAATGTCTACAACATCAACATGATGTGTTGCGTCTAATAATCACGCCCCTACCTCAAAGGTCAAAGTCACACTACCATTTTGAAGTTCACTTTATCACAATTAGAGTTTATAGGTACACACATTCGTCTGCGGGCTGTAACTTTGTCATGCATTGAAGAATTTTAAAATAACTAGGTATAAATGTCTACCACAACAAGACGACATGACACGACCAAGACCCATTTCCCCTCTTCAAGGTCAAGGTCACACTTATAGTTTGAAGGTACTCATTCTCTCGAGAAGACTTTGAAGATACACATTCATGTCCGGACTGTAACTTTGTCATGCATGGAAGGATTTTAAAATAACTTGGCACAAATGTCTACCACATCAAGACAATGTGTCACAGCTAAAGCTCATGTCCATCTGTCTATGTGTCCCCACTTACACAACAATCATGTCCAGACTGTAACTTTGTCATGCATTGAGGGATTTTGAAATAATATGGCACAAATGTCTATCTCAAAACAACATTTTGTCGATTGGTCAGAATGCTTGTCTAAGTAATTGCTTGGATGAGTTCAAGCATTGGTCATCTCGGATGAAAAACAAGGTTACAGGAGCTAAAAATAGAAAAATCTTGTTAACTACATAGTAGCTTTTGTTTTAATCTGAATATCCTGGAAATTAGTCAGAAATGTTTTGATTATTTTTAGGTCAAGTTCGAATATTGGTCATCTGGGGTCAAAAACAAGGTAACTCAGCCCAGACATGGTAAACCTTTGCTAACACTCTAGAGGCTACTGTTTTATAAATCAAATATCCTGGAAATTAGTCAACATGGATGTTATGATAATTTCTAGGTCAAGTTTGAATATGGGTCACCTGGGGTCTAAAACTAGTTCACGCAGTCTTAATATTGGAAAACTTTGTTAACACTCTAGGGGCTACTGTTCTACCGCAGTCAAAATATCCTGGAAATTGGTCAGAAAGGTTGATATGATGATTTCCAGGTCAATTAAGTTCCAATATGGGTCCTTTGTGTTCATAAACTAAGTCACACAGCCCATATATGGAAAAACCTTGTTTACACCTTAGTGGCTACTGTTGTAATCCAAATATCCTTAAAATTGGTCAGAAAAGTTGTTTTGATGATTTCTAGGTAAAGTAGTTTGAATACAGATCATCTGTGGTCAAAAACTAGGTCACACAGCCCAAATAAAATGGGATTGAGCCTACATAATCAGGTGAGCTATATAAGGACCATCAGTGCCCTCTTGTTGTTGATTTTTATGCAACTGCAGCATCTTCCATGTGGTGGTATATAGTGTGTGCGTGTGTGTGTGTGTGTGCGTGTGATCTATATTGGACTTAAAAGATCTTCTTGTTAAAAACTGTTAGTCAAGTTTCAACTCAGCTTGGCAGAATTGTTCCTTGGGTGAAGGCTTTCAAAAGTTATTCAATGAATTTGTTTCCATGCAGAAATCTGGTTGCCATGGCAACAAAAAGGAATTATAAGTAATCTCTGACTGGTGGACCTTTAGCAAGATTGTTCAAATTATAGTCCTGGGGTCAAAAATGGTCCCGCTTGGAGGGTATCATTGATTTTCATTATGTACATACATGTATAGTAAAAAATTAAAATCTTCTTATCTGAAGGTACAATGCTTAGAGCTTTGATAATTGGTACATTGTATCATCTATAGGTCCTGAAACAATGTTGTAGAAATTTGCCTCTTCTGTCAAAATTGGATTGATATATGCTATATATACATGTTTATAGTAAAATTCGTCTTCTCTTAAATGGCAAAGGCTAGAGCTTCTTCTCTGAAATGACTAAGCTAGAGCACAGATATTTGTCATGAAACATAATTATCCTAGTGGACATCGAAAGATTTTGTTCAAATTTTGCCTCTGTCAAAATTGGCCCAACCCCGGGGGAAATAGGTTTTCCTACCATGTATATAGAAAAAAAACTTTCTGAAATGACAAAGGTTAGAGGTCAGTTATTTGGAATGAAATATTGTGAAGTTGACCTCTCCAAGTTCGTTCAAATTATGGCTTTGGGGTCAAATAAGCCTTGCCTATATTTTCATTACAAAAATAATTAAGGTAAAATCTTATGGAAAGATTAATGTTTGAAGCTTCAAAAGCTAGAGCTTAGATATTTGGTATGAAACATTGTGTACCTCTTCAAAGATTGTTCAATTGAAACAATATTATCTCTGCCCTGGAGGTCATGAGTATTCTTTATATACATGAGACAGGAACTAAAAAGATTTTTGGAAAGGGAGAAAGCTAGAGCTTAGATATTGGACATGAAATATTGCCTGGTGGACCTGTGTCAACATTGTTTAAATTAAAGCCTAGGGGTCTAAATATAGAAACTATATTATATATGAAATATGGACCATGTGCACAGATTTAAATGTAAAGTGAACTTTGATATCAGCTGACATCAATAATTTGATGAAGAATTAACCTTATGGTAAATATTCATACTTGGAAAAAACAACAAGTGTGACTAGACCTACCTATTGTAATTTAAAAATCTGGAAAATCTTTTTTCTTTAATTTTCTTTTAAACCTTTTATTTGCTTGCTTTAAGAATAAGAAATAAAGCCTAGCTTTGTCCCCGCTTTTTGGTGGCTCTTGTACTTTGCTTTGATTTTAATTTCTAGCACGGAAGTACAATGCCCAGAGCTTGTATAATGAAATATCATGTTGTCCACTACATATTTTTTTTTATAAATCATGCCCCTAGGGGCAATCCCCAAGTATCACTATGTTTACAAAGATTTATATAGAAAAACAACCTTAATTCTGGCAGTGCTAAATTATTTGTTATGTTTGTTTGTTTGATTGGGTTTTATGTCACACCGACACAGTATAGGTCATTTTGCGACATTCCTGCTTTACTGGTGGAGGAAGACCTCAGGTGCCCTTCCTTGCATTATTTCAGGCACGAACGGGCACCTGAGTAGAACCACAGACGTTCTGTAAGCTAGCTGGATGCTTCCTCACATGAAATAATCCAAAGTCTATGTCAGGATTCGAACCCACAGTGGTGAGGGGCAAGTGGTTTGAAATCAATTACCTTAACCACTCGGTCATGGACGCCCCTAATTGTTGTGTAGTAATTCAAAGTGGGCCTCTACAAAAGTTATATAAATCAAGTCATTTTGGTCCAAAAGGCCTGACTTAGAAAGACCCAATTACTTACTGCTGATATGAAGAATACAATGAATTTCAGGTGAGTTATTATAGGCCATCATGTTATTTTTTTAAGCTTACAATCAGTGGATGGGAGAACATGGAGGTGTAATAGTTAATATCATTGCTGATATGTGGAAAGGTTTCCCTATGATGAGGTTAGTAATTTATTAAACATTAAAACGTGAGTATTTCATACTTTTAGACTTAAGGTGACAACAGACACTTTCCATGGTACTTCCATAAATGTCATTTAAACCAACTTATTTTAGTAATAATTGTTATTTATTTAAATCTTGTGCATTAAATGTCTATGATCTTCATAAAAAATAACATTTGAAAAAATGCCTTTGTAAATAATAAATTTTGAACAAAAATCCTATTATTTTAAAATCGTCCTATCAAAGTCATTTTTTTGTGTCATCAAACTTTTGCAATATAAACAGAATTATAATATCTAGGGAACCGTGTCTCAGATTATTTCTAACTTTTCTCAAAAATATATTACGTAAGGTCAAACATTTTATGCGACCTTTTTCACCATACATATTACGTAATTAAAGATAATTAGGTCACTGATTGAGCTTACAAAAATCCCCGACATGGTTCCCTCCGTAAATGAATCCCTTTCATGTGCTTTAAACCGCATGTAAATTGCTTGATTATTAAAAAAGTTATGCCGATTCAAAGTTAGACCGACACACATCAAACGAAGTGTCATAAATCGGCTGTTCTCTCTCAGACGGCTGCGTTTCACACTAAATTATTGCATAACACGCAAATATCGCATCTAAGGTGGTCAACAAGATACGGTTACATACTCGAACAACTTTTTATGACCCAGTGACATCTGACCAATTAAAAATCTGCTGATTAATATCATTTTATTGCAGAAATTTCTTCAAATCTTAACGTGATATACTGTCCGTCTGGCATCTGTCTCAGATGTCACGTGACTATTGGTAAAATTTGAGGAACTCTGTGGGGGGAAATGGAACGCTTTCACGTGCGTACCACCAGCGGGATAATTTATTTGTTTCACTTTGGAAGTTTATTATCAGAACAGAACAGAACATAATTTTATTTTGGATTTGTACATAGTACATCATCACTGCAATATAAATACACAAATTGTAAAGAAATTATCATCATCATTATATATATCAGTGTCACACTGCCTGTGTATTCATGTATAAAATAAAGAAAAACTGAGCATAAGTCCGTAAAATGATGTACAAATAAGAACGGGATATTATATATTTTTGTCCGACCAATTCCTAGAAATAAAAGGTATCACTCGATCAATATGATCTGATTTTTATTATCATGAATATTCATCTATACACAGCAAAGATCTCGATTCAGTTTCTTCTTGCACACAAAATAAATTATTTCATACTTTGTCTCAGGTTTATTAGTACTGTGTTCGATTTACTGGCAAACATATTGAAAACATTCACTAAAAATATATTTCGCTGTCTGTCTGATTTTTCTATCGATTCATAAACAAATTTGATATCATCCGCAGAATATCATAAAATATTTTAGAAATTTGTCATCACCAGTCATATATCTCTGGGCCTTTACATAAAAAAATGTTGTTTGTTTTATTTTATATTGTAAGAAAACGAGGTTGAATTTACAGCAAGCTATTTGATTCGTACAATTGTTCATAAACTCAATGTAATGTCTATCAGATTATGGGACAAACAAATTATTATTTCATACATTATTGATATAATAACGAATAGCAGATATAAATAATATAGGTACCATTTCGAAACGTTTAAAACGTTTTTTGGATTAACTGCTTCAAAATCAAATCACGAATGTGTTCAGAAAAGGTTGATAATTCTTCTAAGCAAAGAATCTCATTTTAGGTATTTTCAGTGTTAATTGACTCTGTTGTCACCTTAAGTAAAGATTTGTGTATTTGTTTTTTAGTGTTTGTTTTAAAGTGGTAATTCACTAATTTTAAACCCGACCCCCCAAATAAACTTACAAACATATGGTATGGCATCTGTCCAAACAATTGTTTTCAGCAGAATAAATTTTGAAGCATTTAAGTGATTGTGTTTATATCTTGCATGTAAGTATGTTATATCAAAACAAGGATTAAGTTTGATTTTCACTTATTATAGAGTTTATCCCTTATGTGATCACCCACGGTCCGTCGTCATGCGTGGTAAAAATTCCTTTAAACAACATCTCCTCTGAAACCAAGGACTGCACAGTAAACAAACTTTACAGGAATGATCATTGGGTGACCTGCCAAATTTGTCATCACCAGTCATACTGTGCCGCTATGATAATGTGAGAGTGACGTTGCATTTTTTGTGTACACAAAAGTTTACAATCTTTGTCTGAATAGGTAAAACAGGGTATTTAGAAGCGAATATAGTACTAGATAAACTGCAAAATTTTAAAGGTCTTGATGGCAAAGTTGGTTAAGTCATTTGGGATGCAATACAAATTTAAATTCTTCACAAGTTCGAGCCTCACAAGTTGTCCGTTGTTCCTTTTTTGTTTCCCTTTTAACAATTTTACTGAAGATGCAAATGAACTGGAAAATAAAGATAGATTTTTTTATAATATCTAATAATTTAAATATACTGGTAATAATATTTTAACCTGTACAGTGTGAGGTATGCGGTAGTCATAGTACTTTTGCAGTGCACGAGTATTTCGTGCCAACTGAAATATTGTTGAAACAATTTGTATACAAGTATTCATTCCGTTAAGCATTCAATATAAGGTTGTTCACATTTGCTAGATATTAATTTTGGAAACAAAAAAAAATGTGAAATGTGAAGTTAAAAGAAATAAACACAACACTTAACACTTCTTTACGTCAAGAAAAATATAACATATTCGTATTTGATTGTTTATATATAGAAATTATTTTCGCGAAAAAAGTACAATCCGAACCAGTCTTGCATTGATATTTAACTAAAACATTAACTGACAACGTTACCTACTGCGTTACGCTGACAGTTGATTAATTTGTCGATATTTTAATTTATATCGGAAGCCTGCGTGCCTAAAGATAATAAACACAATATGATAACTGTTTTACACCGTAATAGTGGACTTGACCACCGCATCACTAAATAATTATCCTAAACGGACAGTATCTCTGGGCCTTTACATAAAAAATGTTGTCTGTTTTGTTTTATATTGTAAGAAAATGAGGTTGAATTTACAGCAAGCTATTTGATTCGTTCATTTGTCGATAAACTCAATGTAATGTCTACCAGATTATTGGTCAAACAAATTATTATTTCACACATTATTGATATAATAGGCAGGTACATTGTTTTAACCATCACCATGGTCGTGAGATTTACCGTTATTCTAAATTATTTATATTACATCTTGGCCGACTATTTCTTAATTTATAAAAAGGCTAAATAAAAGGTAGAAGATAATTGTCGAGATATTCATAAAAGATGTACAGTATTTGTACATATATGGTCCCCAAGTAAAAAAATGCGTGTGCCCTAAACGAGAAAACAATGGGCTGAACTAAATAAAATAGAGTTTTGAAAGGGGATCAGAGGTTATGAAGCCTGCATATCACAGATATGACGTCAAAAGGACACATTTAAAAAGCAGGCCACATATCCTAAGGGTGATTCAACAGCATTCAAGTACTCAAATTTGGCATATGGATACATCAAAGGAATGTGCAGGTCAAGTTTGTATTTGGTTATGCCCCTTTTACTTTAAAAATGATATAAAATTTTCAGTTTCTGTTCATTATCTCCCCAGCGGTATTACACATTCAACTCTAATTTGGCATATGGATACGTCAAAGAAATGTGCAGGTCAAGTTTGTATTTGGTCATGGTTTGATGATTTTTGGCAGAGTTATGCCCCTTTCACTTTGAAAATAATATGAAATTTTCAGTTTCTGTTCATTATCGCCTAAATGGTATTACACATTCAACTCAAATTTGACATAAGGATACGACGAAGGAAGTCGCAGGTCAAGTTTGAATATGGTCATGGTTCTATGGTTTTTTGCAGAGTTATGCCCCTTTCACTTTGAAAATAATATGAAATTTTCAGTTTCCTGAAAATAATATGAAATTTTCAGTTTCCGTTCATTATCTTCCCTGCGGTATTACACTTTCATCTCAAATTTTGCATATGGATACCCAAAAGAAATTCGCAGGTCAAGTTTGTATTTGGCCATGGTTTGATGATTTTTGGCAGAGTTATGCCCCTTTCACTTTCAAAATAATATGAAATTTTCAGTTTCCGTTCATTATCTCCTCAACGGTATTACACAGTCAAATAAAATTTTACATATGGATACATCAAAGGAAGTCGCAGGTCAAGATCGTATTTGGTCATGGTTTGATGATTTTTGGTAGAGTTATGTCCCTTTCACTTAGAAAATAATATGAATTTTCAGTTTCTGTTCATTATCTCCGCAACAGTTGTACATATTCAACTCAAATTTAACATATAGATCTGTCATAAGAATAAACTGGTCAAGTTTGAATTTGGTCATGGTTTGATAATAGCTGACAGAGAGATCCCTCTTGGACTTTGAAAAAGATCAGAAATTTTTAATTTCTGTTCATTATCTCCCCAATGATTGTACATGTTCAACTCAAATTTGACATATAGAATCATCTTAGGAATCAGAAGTTCAAGTTTGAATTTGGTCGTGGTTCAATGATTTTGGACGAAGTTATCTCTCTTAAATGTTGGAAAAATTTTGAATTTTTAGTTTCAGCACTCATATTTTTGTGGAAACGTATGTAGTCATTATTTTGGCTACAAATATGCAATATGCAATTTACAAAAGATTAACACTGAATAGTTTCAGTGCCTTGAATTTTGTATAAAAATGTTTTGTGCTAACATTGAATAGTTTTAAGGACTTTGAACTTAAAATGAAAAAAATAGTTTGTACAAACAAATTTGGAACTAAATATTATAACATCTGAAATTTTGGCTGCATGCGGGGGCATCCTTGGCGTGACGACGCATTTCTAGTCACCCATAGGTCTTCTACCAAAGATGATCAAATTATAGCCCTTGGGTCAAAAATTGAAGGGTCATAGGTTGTCCTTACATGTACATAGTAAAAACTTTAAAAAATCCTCTCTGAATTGACAAAGGCTAGAGGTTAGATATTTGGCAT